AAATGCCTATTCAGATCGTTTGCCCATTTTTATTTATTTATTTATTTGAGACGGAGTTTCACTCATGTTACCCAGGCTGGAGTGGGTTATTAGGACCGCCTCCAGGGCCCACCGGAGGCGTGAGGTTGGTGAGTGAGACCAGAAGGCATGTGTGTTTCTCTGGCTGTCCTCAGCCGACCGGGTGCGGGAGCAGGGGGTGGTGGGGTGGCTAAGTTTAAGCAGAGTGGGGTTTCTGCCCTGTGAGTACAGGAACTAGCATGAGGGTGTGGGGAGGATGGAGGGCAGGCTGGACCATGAAGGAAGGAGGGGAGATGCGCAAGGGCAGAGGTGAAAGGCAGGCATCAGTGAAAAGTGGTGGAGGTGGGAGAAGACAGCGGTGTTCAGAAAGGGGGTCTGGAATGGAGGTTCTGGAGGAGCTAATGTGGCGGTAGGGACAAGGGCCTGAGCATGCGGATGGGAATGGGAGGCTGAAAGGGGGGCAGGCAAGGTCTCTGCAGGTGGAACAACTGAGAGGCCAGAGCATGCAACCTGCTCTCTAGGAGCACGCTGAAATCCCCCAGCAGCAGAAAGGGGCCATGAGCCGGAGCTAAGCCTCCCGGTGTAATCTGATGACAGGAACTTCAATACTGAGTACAGTCATGCAATTTTGTCATTGTGCGAACATCATATAGTTAGTCCCAGATGGGCTGGCCCACGACACACCTTGGCTATATGGGATAGACAGCCTATTGCTACAAACTTGTACAGCACAGTACTGAATGCTGTAGGCAACTGTAACACAATGGTCAGTCTTTGTGCATTTAAACAACTCTAAACGTAGAAATTGTGTAGCAAAAATACTATAGTAAAAATACAGTATAAAAGAAAAAATTGGCACATCTGTGTAGGGCATTTACCAGGAATGGAGCTTGCAGGACTGGAAGTGGCTCTGGGTGGGGGAGTGGGGGAGTGGGGTAGTGAGTGAGTGGGGGAGTGAGTGGGTGAGCGGGTGAGTGAGTGGGTGGGTGGGTGAGTGAGTGGGTGGGTGGGTGAGTGAGTGGGAGGGTGAGTGGGTGAGTGGGTGAGTGGGTGGGTGGGTGAGTGGGTGAGTGAGTGGATGAGTGAGTGGGTGGGTGGGTGAGTGGGTGAGCGGGTGGATGGGTGGGTGGGTGAGTGAGTGGGTGGATGGGTGGGTGGGTGAGCGAGTGGGTGGGTGGGTGAGCGGGTGGATGGGTGGGTGGGTGAGTGAGTGGGAGGGTGGGTGAGTGGGTGGGTGGGTGAGTGGATGGGTGGGTGAGTGAGTGAGTGGGAGGGTAGTGAGTGGGTGGGTGGGTGAGTGGGTGGGTGGGTGAGTGAGTGGGAGGGTGAGTGAGCAAGTGGGCGGGTGGGTGGGTGGGGGTGCGAGTGGGCAGGTAGGTGAGCAAGCGACTCAGTGAGTGGGTGGGTGAGAGGGTGGGAGGGTGAATGGGTGAGTGAGTGAGTGGGGAGTGAGTGTGTGGGTGGGGAGTGAATGTGAAGACCTAGGACATTACTGTTTGCGACTATAAACTATAAAAACTGTACGTTGGCCGGGCATGGTGGCTCACACCTGTAATCCCAGCACTTTGGGAGGCAGAGGCAGGAGGATCATGAGGTCAGGAGTTCAAGACCAGCCTGGTCAACATGAGGAAACACCGTCTCTACTAAAAATACAAAAATTAGCCAGGTGTGGTGGTAGGTGCCTGTAATCCCAGCTACTTGGGAGGCTGAGGCAGGAGAATCACTTGAACCCAGGAGGCGGAGGCTGCAGTGAGCCAAGATTTTGCCATTGCACTCCAGCCTGGGTGACAGAGCAAGACTCCATCTCTGAAAACAACAGCAACAACAGTAAAACTGTACATTTAGGCTACGCTAATTTTTTTTTTTTTTATGTAACTGTGCTACAACGTTACAATGGCTAAGACGTCCCTAGGCGAGGTGACAGGAGTTTCTCAGCTCCACTGTAATCTTGAGTCCACTGTCACGTGTGCAGTCTGTCGTCACCCAAAACATTGCTGTGCAGTGCAGAACTAAGTTGATGGAGGAGAGAAGGACGAGGGTCCAGAGAGCGGGGCCTTGAGAGCAAAGAGACCCCGCCCCTCCTGGGGCAGGGCTGCAGGGACAGCCGCAGTGTCCTTGGGGGACAGGGGTCTTCTAGTCAGGGCCGGAAAGGGCAGGAAACGCTGCCAGAGGCTGTTGAAAAGCAGGGGGTTGCTGGTGCTGGGCCAGGATTCGGAGGATGCAGTGAAGTTTCAGGAAGGGAGGAAGGAAGGAATAGGGAGAGAGGGCTGGGCCCCAGAGAACCTGGCCTCTCCCAGGAAGCTTCCTGCCACTCCAGACCAGCAGCTGTGCCCAGCTGGGCCAGCAGAGGACGCCAGGTGCCGGTCATTGGAGTCCACAGCCTGCCCATCGCCCAGGCCCGGCCCAGCCCAGCACATTAGTGGCTGGCACCTGCTCTCACCTCTGAGCTGAATCAGCCTCCACCTCGCCCTCAGAATCCACAGGGAGGCAGATTAGAGAACAGGTATCTGTGATAAGAGGCGAGAGGAGCCAAGTCTCACAGAAGGGGCAGGCTAGGTGCTACGGGAGCTCAGTCAGAGGGGCACTGGATCTGGGCAGACTTCCTGGAGGAGGCAGCTCCAGATCTGTGGTCTAGTTATAATGGTGGCAGGAAGCAGTACATGGCCCAGCCGGGGACACTGGGATGGGAGGCTGGTTTTAAGCCTCTCGAGCCCAAGACATGGCCCCCTCCTGAGGGTAGGGGACCCTGGGAGATTCTGAACAGAAGAGGGTTGTGACCAACATGCCAGTCTCAGAAATGCTTTCCTCTCCTCCTGCTCAAGAATGGCTCGGGGCCCAACACAAACCACAAGTCTCCACCCTCTCCTCTTCTCCCTTCTCTTCCCAGGAAGCCCCTTACCTGCCACTTCATGGAGAAAAGGAAGCCACTGGGGCCTTCCTGACACCTACCGCAGGCAGCCTCTCTCCACCCTGCACCTCCTCCCTCCCTGCCGCTTTAAAGGGAAGAGATGTGGCTGTTCTCTGACGGGTCTGCTTGGCTCTCTCTGTCTCTCTTTTGTCCACACCACGGCTTACTCGCCCCTTTTCCCGCCAGCGTCTGAGCACACTCAGATCTCTTCCACCCTAAAAAAACAAAACGCAAACAGAACATGAGCTCCCTCAATCGCCTTCCAAGTTACAGACACCGAGGTCCTGCAGTGAACAAGATGGACAAAATCCTTCTCCTCATGCAGCCTCATAGTTGAGTGAAATAGGTAATAAATTCATGTTCAGCCTATGAGTGGTGATGAGAGGACCAGAGAGTGATGAAAAGAGGAGAAAACGTGGCAGTAGGGACGGGGGATGGGCAAGAGGGTCCAGGCTCGTCCGAGAGTGCCGAGCTCCTGCCGCTCTTCCTACAGCGCACGCCGCCTCTGCCTCCACCCCAGACCTCTCCACAGTGCCCCGGCCAAAGCCACCTCAGTCCTGCTTGCGTTTCTCCAAGCATGGTCCAGGGGCCACCTGCAACGGAACAGTGGAACGAGGCTGTGGGAACTCCTCCTACCCACCCCCTTCTCGCTTTGAGAATTGCAGATTCCTCTGACTGGCCCAGGAACTGGGCCCAGGAATCTGCATTTCATAAACTCCCCAGGAGATACTGAGGCAGCCCAAAGTGTGGGAACCACAGATTTACTCCCCGAAAGCGTAGCACTGCCTCAAGCGGTCCAGGCCACCAGCTCCACTCTGCAGCCACGGCGCATGCTATTCCCTCCTCCTGGAATGCCCTTCCCGGCATTCTTTGCCTGATAATTCTCACAAGACCCACCCCCAGGGTCCCCTCCTCCGGGCTGCACTCCCTGAACTTTCCCATGCTACCTCTCTCCTCTTTACTAAGGGAGTCCTCTGCGTGACTGTCTCTTCCACTGGACCAGCAGCTGCTACAGACTGGACCCCCTTCAGGCCAATTTGCATTGGTCTGGAGATAGTAGTTTTAGAGCCCAATTACTGCTTAGAAGAATCCCTCTGGTGGGTGTGGTGGGGTCCAGCCTGGAGACAGGGGCCAGTGAGGGGCCGTGTGATGGTGAGCACAGTCTCAAGGGGTGGTGACAGTGGCTACGGTGGGGAGGGAAGAAAGGGAAGAGATGTCGCTGTTCTCTAACATGTCTGCCTGGCTTTCTCTGTCCCCAAGGGAAGGGGTCCTTTGGAGGCAGAAAGCCAGACCTTGGTGGCAGATGGGACACAACCCAGGCAGGGATCCAGAGTGTGAGTTCTTTTTTTTTTTTTTTTTTTTTTTCCATTTTTCAAGAGTGTTTATTAAAATAGGCAGTAATCAGTACATGTGCATCAGATGAGCAGTTTTTCAAAATTAGCATTTCCAGGAGAGGGGCTACATCTCAGTTTTTCTGTCTATAAATAAAATGTCTAAAGTACTTCCCTAAAGTACAAAGGCATTTCCCTAGTAGTCTTGGTACCAGTAACAGAATATGATTACTAAACATCTTCAATGTGGTTTTCATTACAAAGAAGCATGTTTCACATAGAAGCTTCATAATATAATCCAGAGACAGAATTTGTGCTAGGCTGAATATTTCTGACATATATTTTTTCATTTCTTCCAGTGTTCGTTATTTTTATAAACATGCACCCAGCTTCCTACCAGTTTAAAACACACACACAGAACACTGCTCAGAGCACCATGATTGCCTTACGGTAGCCTCTTTGGGACTACAATCCTAGTTCAAGGAGGGGAGTAGTAATTTCTATTCTGACTTGCTCCTTTCCCCAAATCATGTTAGTGTGGACCAAATCCCAGCAATTGTCAGATACAAAGGTTTCTGGGAAGAGGGCCAAAGAATAATTATGAATAATTTTACAATGATCTGGTTAAGAAAGCACACAGAAAATAAATGATTTCACATGATAAAAAGCCTGGACTTGAATTTGAACAAGAGATGGATGTGAAAGGGATGAAGCATTGCTTCACTCCCAGGAGGGATGTTCTTTACTGTAGTACCCACAAAAAGACAGCACTATCCCAGGGCTGGTTTTCCTACGGGCCTCCGCCAACAGCCTTTGAGGTAGATGCTGATGGCCTGAAGAGAGGTAGGTAAAGTCCAAATTTGTTTTCGATCCCTGCAAATGTAGCAACTGCCAGTTTGTAGCCCCCAACGTGATCAGGATTCGGGGCAGGTAGGTTGATCCTGGATTTAGGAACTGGCTCTGATCCCATGGGTTTTACTCCTCCAAAATCAATGTAGAACCATCTTTGTAGCAATTCGTAAGTCAGCAAAGTTACGCCAAACTGGGGTGAGGATCGAAATACACGAGCACCAGCTCCTTTCCACAGAGCTTTTGGGCCTTCTTCCCGTAGTATCTTTCTAAAGCAGTCTGTATCACTCCACTGTAAGTGGTTTGGCCAGCCCGGGCAGCCACCTGTAATCTCGTCTTGATAACATCAGCAGGGGTCACTAAAGATGCTGCACGCATACCAGCTATGGCACCAGCTAAGAGCAGGCTTCCTGGGCTAACCTGCCCATCTTCATTTGCAAAGGAAGCCTTCACATGAGCATAGCACGGAAAGTAGACGGCCGAGAAAGGAATGTCCCACAGGAAGCATGCTTTGGCACGCTTGTAGATCCCAAAGAACCCCAGGTCCCGCACGACAGGGCACTGACTCGCAGACCAGTGTTGATTTCTCCGGTCACTTGCAAACGGATCTTGACGATTTCTAAAGGATTTGTGAAAATCACCTGGGAGCCTCCAGCAAGAATTTCTGCTGCAAGTGGGACCGAACCACCTTTGTGCATAAATTTATCCCTCACAAAATCATTCACTGTAAGTTTTATGGCCTTCGCTGGGGCAGCTCCCAATAACTGCGGCAACAGACCTCTGTACAGTCCAAAGAAGCCTTCATAGCGTAGCACTTTCTTAAAACAGTCAAAGCTGTTTTTATACATGAGTTCTCCCACAAAAGAGCCAGTTGATCCTTGGTTCTGCATTCGAGTTTTTACAAGGTCAATAGGATACACAGCAGTGGTTCCAACAGCTCCAGCAACAGAACCCAGACCAAACCTGTAGGCCGACTCTGCAACTTGTAAAAGAACTGGTCTAGCTGAATCACCCGAGGCCTTCTGCCTCTGGGCCTCAGCCAAGTTAAAGGGCAGAGTTCCCTCTTCCAGAGAGCAATCCGTTCAATGTCTGCTAAGGTCATACGTCCCCTTGGCTCATATAAATCTGCTAACAACTGAAACAAGACGTCAACTTCCATGGGTGTAACCTGATCAAATTTCTGAGCTGCCAGAACAAACTCCTCCTTAGTCACCTCAACATCTTTCCTGTTGCCAGCCAGAGTGCTGTAGATCTTTCTAATGAGTTCCATGTTGTTAAGGAGCGAATTAAATCCATTAAAATAGGAGAAACTAACTTGATGGGATGTGGTACCTCCAGCAGCCAATAAAAACTGAGTAAATTCCGCATATGTCAGGTGTCTTTTTCTTTCTTTTCCAAAATGTAGTTGCACAAATTCTGAGTCCCAGTTAAATGGAATATGTTGATGAATTCTGGTCTGTCCAAAAACTTGCTTAACATCCTCAAAAGTTACTTCTCCTTTGCCAGCTTTGTCAAACAGCTGAAAGGCTACCATAAACAAAGCATCAGGGGCACACAGGACAGATTCAAAGGCAACAAATTCTTGAAAAGATATTAATCCATCTTTGGTTTGATCCACCACTCCACTTAAAAGTTTCACAGTCTTTGGATTAGGCTGGCTTTCTCCAAAAATGTTCAAGTATCAAGTGACAAAGTCATTGGGGGACATAAAAAATTCACCGTTTTTCTCAATGCTTGCATACTTCAAAAATATTGTTCTAAGCTCAGCTGGATCTGCTCTCTTGGTTAAAGCTACCTTGGCGGCCGCCAGGCTTCGCCCCGGGTGCGTTCGGCTGCGGGACCCACTCACCGGCTGGCAGGTGCTCGGGGCCCAGGCGGCTCACTTCCAGTCCCGGCGGCGGCCGGCCGGCGACACGGCCCGACAGCGTGTGCGCCTGGCCTGCCTCCAGAGTGTGAGCTCTAATCCCAGCTGTACTATAAATCCCTGGCATGACGCTCAGCAACAGCTTCCCCTTCTGAGCCTCAGTTCACTCCTCAGCAAGATGCTGGCAATTACTCCACCCTCACTGGGGAAATGCGAAGCCAAACGAGATGGCAGATCTGAAACTGCTTTCGAAAGTCATCACATGAGGCAAGCATGGAGGGGGAGGAAGGACAGGTTCTGAGTGGTCAGATGGCCGCCCTGCTCCTCCACACAAACACCCAACTGTGTCACCCAGACTAGCCATTTGGATCCAAAGGACCCCCAGGGCATGCACCCAATTCGCATCAGTGCTCTGGGGTCAAGGGTGAAAGGAAAGAATCCCCAGCAGCCCGAGCCCCAGGGCAAGTGAGGGGGGACACCGGGAGGAATGTACCTTCAGCTGCTTCATGGGCCCCAGCCCTCACCCCCAGGCCAAACTATTTCCATCACCTCGTGGTCAGGGTGTTAATGGTGCAGAGAAGTCAGCCACCTGAGCCAGGGTGGGGGGTCGAGCTCCGAAACCCAACACAGCAACAAGCACCAAGGTTCCCGCGAGGTCCCCAGGGCTAGGATCAGTCCTGTGAGGAAGGGAGGCAGGACTTCTGTCCCACCACAGCGGGGAGAAAACTGAGACTGGGGAAGGCCCCACGGGGAATCAGGGGCAGGGTCTAGATCTGCCACCGCAGGCAGGGAAGAGCGAAGTTGCTCCCAGGAAGAGGTAGGGAGGCATTGACTGGCACCCTGTTATTGAGATGAGAAACCCCAGGCTCAGGCAGGTGACTTGAACTTCAGGATGCAGAAGGCAATGCTCAGAGCTGCCCAAAGAATAGGCAGGAACATGTCTGAAAGAGGTTACACCTCCTAACAGAGAGAGAGAGAGAGAGAGAGAGAAAGAGAGAGAGAGAGAGAGCGCTAAAGATCAGACAGGAAAAGAAAGGAAATCCATCCACTGGAAAGATCTGAGATCCCACAAAAGAAATACATGAAAATATAATTGCGGACATCATTACGGTACATCCAGCTGCTCCAGGCTGGCCTATCCCGTTCTAAGGGAAAAGGAAAAGGGGGACGGGCATCACAGTTAAGTCCAGAGTCCTCACTGAGTGGACATATGAAGACATCCTGATGGCCCAGTCTCCCTCCACCGCAGAAGAAAATCGCCACCCTGAAGTGATGCTTGTCGCATGTGCTCGTCTTTGACCCGTGCTTCTCCTGCAGAGCAGTGCTGTGTCTGATTCACCCCTGGTAGCACCTACTCACTAGGTAAGGATCAAATCAGCTGCCAAGTAGACTGGGCTGAGAATGACCCTGCTGGCGTGTAGAAGGGGCTGCTGGTGGGGAATGCTGTCGGCTGCTGTCCTTGCCATCTGTGTCCCCAAAGTCTGCAGTGCCTACCCTGAGAGTGTTTGCTGAGGAGAGAATCAAGTTTCTCTATGGCCAGGTGCAATGGCTCATGCCTATAACCGCAGCACTTTGGGAGGCCGAGGCGAGTGATCACTTGAGCTTAGGCGTTCAAGACCAGCTTGGCCAACATGGTAAAACCCCATCTCTACTAAGAATACAAAAAAAAAATTAGCCTGGTGTCTGGTGGCGCACACCCATAGTCCCAGCTACTAGGGAGGCTGAGGCAGGAGAATTGCTTGAACCCTGGAGGTGGAGTTTGCAGTGAACTAAGATCGCACCACTGCACTGCAGTCTGGGCAACAGAGCAAGACTGTCTCAAAAAAGCAAAACAAAACAGTTTCCCTAGTGTATTTTCCTTTTCCTTCTTTGCTGACATTTTTTTTTTTTTTTTTTTTTTTTGCTTTTCCTCTAGTTTTCCTCAAGGTCATTTTCATGCAGATAACCCTGGTTTGTTGTGGGAAGAGATGGCAACACTTGGCTTTCTGAAAATCTGTGTTTACAGACAATACAGGCTTCGGCACCACCTGCAGACCCCACAGCTGCCCCAGCTGCAGGGCCGGGCTCCCTCCTTCTCCTTGTCATAGCCCTGATGCTGTTGAGAATCCTCCTGGCAGGCTGGCCAGCAAAGGCCTGGAGGCCGAATCCCAGGTGAGGACAAATATGTCCTTGTGGGTACTGAGAGACATCACCTCTCCTCACAAAACAGAGCCTCAGGTTTTCATCCATCTCCGAGGCCATGATGCCTGCCTGCCTCCCTCAGAAGGTTGGAATCACACCTGTTTTGGAGGGGACCTTTGCAGGTCAAGTCCAGCCTTCCACTGGTGCTTGAATCCGTGCTCCAGGATGGACACAGGTGGTCATCTGGCTTCCTTCAAATTCACTTATCTCATGGGAGTGATGTCCTTCCTGGGGGCCTACCATTTTATTTATTTTTTAAAGTAGAAGAATTAGGCTGGGCATGGCTCACCCCTGTAATCCCAGCACTTTGGGAGGCCAGGGTGGATGGATCACTTGAGGCCAGGAGTTCGAGATCAGCCTGGCCAACATAGTGAAACCCATCTCTACTAAATAAATAAATAAATAAATAAATAAAATTAGCCGGGCATGGTGGGGGGCGCCTGTAATCCCAACTATTTGGGAGGAGGCTGAGGCAGAAGAATTGCTTGAACCCAGGAGATGGAGGTTGCAGTGAGCTAAGATCACACTACTGCACTTCAGCCTGGGCAACAGAATGAGACTGTCTCAGAAAAAAAAAAAAAAATTATCATGATTGCTTATTTTCTGAATGTAAAAAGGTCTTTTTCTGGTTATTATTTACATGCTGATTAGAAAAACTTCATAAAATAAAAAATATCAAGGGGAATCCTACCACCCCAATATAATCACTTTAATTTTTTTCTATTCATATTTGCGGCAGGCCTCAATCTGCAAGTCTGAACCCAGAAAGTCTGAAGTCCTGCCTGCCTCGGCTAATCACCCCCTACCCCCCATCCCCGCCCCCACCCCCCACCCCTGCGTTCGCCATTATCCCTGATAACTCAGCTTCGCCCGGTTAAGATGGCTCACCCCACCCTGCCATCTTAACTGTTATTATGATAATACAAATACTCCCTGCCCCACCCTACCATCTAACTACCTTACCCCACCCGCCATTGTAACTGAACTTCTGGTAATGCCTACTCCTTGCCCCACCCCACCACTGTAACTGATCTTACTCCTTAACACCCCTGCCCCCTCTCCAAAAAATTTGCTCCAACCTATAAAACCAACTCCTATCCCACCGCCCTTTGCTAACGCCCTTTTTGGCCCCAGCCCACCTGCACTCAGGTAAATAAACAGCCATAAACACAAAGCCTGTTTGGGGAGTCTCTTCATTCAAAAGGCGCGTTTTAACAACTTGCATATACAGATATATATCATATATATATGATCATATACATATGCAGTATGATTATATATATGCAGATATGATCATATATCTATACACACATATAAAGTCATACTCTGTGTCTGTTGCGGGGGTCATTAATCTGCAAGTATAATTATTTAAGAAACAGAGACTTGGCCCAGCATGGTGGCTCAAGTCTGTAATCCAAGCACTTTGGAGGCCAAGGCGGGCGGATCACCTGAGGTCAGGAGTTCAAGACCAGCCTGACCAACATGGTGAAATCCCATCTTATTTAAAAATTTAAAAAAATAAAAATAAAAATAAAGCAGAGACTCATTTTTCTTCCTAGCTACCGTATCTATGGTTGCTGGCTGTGATTCACTTGTTCAACAATGTTAGATCCAGCATCTCTGTGAGTTTCTTGGAATTTCTCTCATGGTTGCAAAATAGCTGCTGCAGCTCCAGCCACATCTGTTTTCAATGCCACCAAAGACAGTCACTTCTGCATTTTTATTATGAAAGCAAAAACTTCAGAAAGTGACCCCCAACAGATTTAGGTCTCACTGGCCAGAACTACCTCCAGCAGCAGGGAAAAGGATTGTCATGATTGGCTTTGAACCAATCATAGTTAATTGACTGAAAGAGAGGACGTGGTCCTCACTCACGAACAAAATCAAAGAAGGAGGGAATTAACAATGTCTGCTACAACACACATGCTTCTTTATAATCTGCTCTTTTTCTCTTAATTATACACTGCAAAATCTGTCCACATCACAAAATAGAGACTCAGTCATTCATGTAACAATAATTTATTGAGAGCATACTGTGTTCCAGGAACTTAACTAAGCACTCAGGGTACAATAGTGAATGTAATAGAGTCCTTGCTTTTACAGAGCTTAGTGTCCAATGAAGGACATAGAAATTCAACAAAGAAATTCACAAAGAAATGTAAAATTACGATGATAATAAATGCTACAAAGGGGAGAAATCCTCGGTGCTGTGAGAGGGGTGATAGGGGATTTGATTCAATCAGGAGGATCGCCATTTTGAGTGGCCCTCTATCTGTCTCTTGAATAGCCGTAGCAGGATGGCTTGGCCAGTCTCCTACTGCTGCACATTGAGATTGTGTCCAGATTTCATCCACCAGGACCAGTGCTGTGATAAACAGCCCTCTGTAGGTAGAGTTTAGCACAGTTGTCTGATTTTTTCCTTAGGGTAAATTCTCAGGATAAAGCCAGGCACTGTGGCATGCACCTGTAGTCCCAGCTGCTCAGGAGGCTGAGGCTGGAGGATCACTTGATCCAGGAGTTTGAGACCAGCCTGGGCAACATAGCAAGACATTGTCTCAAAACAAAAACAACAACAAAAAAAACCACTAGAATAAATGAGCAATTCCTACCTGTGAAATTGCGGAACGAAGGGGCAGCCCCTGGGAAGGCGCTCACAGCTGCCAACGTGGCTCTCCCACAAAAGCTACCGCCACTCCCATTCCCATCAGCAACATCAGAAAGAGCTCTGTTCCTCCACAGTCAGCCAGCACCACCGATTATTACCTTTATTATATCATCTTTACAAAATGATGCCAGTGTTGTGGATGAAACATAGCTTCTTCTTGTTTTAATTTGCATTCCCCAAGACTAACCGATGTTTTCATTTACCTCTTTTGTGGGATCACAGATCTTTACA